GCCTACCAGCTGGGGTGTACGTACACCGGAGTCTATCTACAGGCTGGGGTGTACGTACACCGGAGTGTATCTACGAGCTGGGGTGTACGTACACCGGAGTCTGCTTGCGGGCTGGGGTGTACGTACACCCCAGCTCGCAGGCAAACTCCGAGACGCAAACGCAGCCCGTCCACACATGCTACCAGCGAACTCCAAACCCTAAACCCTAAACCCCAAACCCTAACACTAACCTCTGGAGGCAGTGCGACACACCCAAACGCTGGCAGAGGAACCACGGAAAGCCCACCCTAAACCCTAAACCCTAAACCCTAAACCCTGAACGAATGAAGCAGCTGGCGCCACAAAAGAAGCCAACAAACAGCAGCAATTAAAATTAAAAATTAACAAACCTGCAATGTAAAGGGCCCCCGCAAGGGCCTCCGCACAGGTCAAGATGTTGGGGGCCCCGTAGTGGGTCGGATTGCCGCAGAGCAGCAGCGGCAGCACTCGCACGTTCTCTGAAAGCCACAAAACCCTAAACCCTAAACCCTAAACCCTAAACTCTAAGCCCTAAACCCTTGGCCTCACTCTTTACGAAATCAATGTGCTGCGCCCGCCTGCCTTCTAACATTCTGTTCCAGCTGCAGTCCAGTACTGCCAGCCCAACCCTCACCCCACCCTAAACCCTAAACACTAAACCCTAAACCCTCACTTTTAACGAAGTCAATGTGCTGCGAGCGCCTGCCTTCTAAGACTCTGTTCCAGCTGCAGTCCACCACTGCCAGCCCCTGCTGCTGCAGCAAAGGCCCATCTGCTGCACTGAAGATTTGGGTCTTTTCGTTGAAGTAAGGCGACAGCAAAATGCCTTTGAAGTGCCCCCCCTTCACGCGCACCCGCAGCAGCTCCCCGCTGCTGCGCCCTCCTGCTGCTGCTGCTGCTCCTGCTGCTGCTGCTGCTGCTGCGGGGGCTGCGGCTGCTCCGGCAGCGGGTGCCGCAGCAGCGCAGCCCTCGCCCTCCTTGCTTCCAGGTCTCGAGTCCGCGTCCGTCTCGCTGTCGCTGCTGCCGCTGCTGCTGCTGCTGCTGCTGCGGCTGCTGCTGCTGCTGCGGCCACCCAGCCGCTGGGCGTACTGCACTTTGCCAGCAGCTGTTATCTTGTTGAGTTTGCAGTGCCGCAGCAAACGGCGGCCGCTGCAGCGCTGAGCGTCACACTCTCCGAAGTCAAACATGAAAAGAGAAACTTCATTTGGGCTTTCAGCCGGCACTTTTGCTGCTGCTGCTGCTGCTGTTGCTGCTGCTGCTGCTGCTGGTGATTGGGAGGGAGGGGAAGAGCTGGAGACAGAAGCGTTTGCTGGGTCGGATGCCTCCCCGGCTGTTGCTGCTGCTGCTGCTGCTGGCGTTGCTGGTTCTCCTGCTGCAGCTGCTGCTTCTGCAGCGCCGCCAGCAGCAGCAGACTTCGACTCAAGTGAGATGCGTTTCATAAGGGCGTGGATGCTGCACTGCTTGCGGCGCTCAGGGTCACCTCCCTTTTTCTTGTTACGAGGCTTCACTGCTGCTGCTGCTGCTGCGTCTGCAGGCGCTGCTGCAGCAGCAGCAGAGCCCCTCACAGCTGGGTCTAAAAGCCTCAACTCAAAGGCAGGGGGGCCCCCCGCTCCGTGGGGCCTCTTCTGGTCTGGGGGCCCCATGGCCACAGCTGCAGTGTTTGGACACTTGAAACCTCAAAAGTTCAGCAGCAAAATGCAAAAGACAATAAAAACATTTAGAAGCCTCACCGCGCTGAAGAAGGCTGCAGCTCGGTGGCTCCAGATGCCCACAGGGGCCCCACAGGGGCCCCTCGAGGGCCCCTCGGGGGCCCCGCCGGGGCCCCCTGAGGCTGCGCACGAGGCAAATGCAAAGAGACAGCTGCGGCACCTTCCTTGTCTGCTGCAGAAGAGATTTGTTAGTCTTTTGAGTTATTAAAATTTCCCTTTTTATAGTTCCAAATGCCCGAGTTTGGGCTTTGCGGATCCTCAATGGCTGCTGCCGTGTGGTCTCGGGCCGCTGAAGCCCAGCAGTATTATACATGCATAATAAAGAGTAAAAATGAATATGTGTTTATATTTTTAAATGAAATTTTATTGATTTTTGAAGTTCGCGACGCTGCTGCAGCCGCCGCAGCAAGAGAAGCAAAGAAGCAGCCACAGAGGCAGTTTAGAGCTCTAATGTTGATAGTTTTAATGTTCGATAGCATTTAAAACATTTATTTATCTAAATCATTATATAGAGATAATGTTTAATATCATTCAAAACATTTATTTACATAAATCATCATATAGAGTTAACAATGCTGCACCCTTGCCGCCGTGGAGCCTCCCAAGGGGGCCTCTGAGACGAGACATAAAAATGAAGGCTCTGACGAAATGTGGACAACAGCTCCAGCTAGTACAGCCCCACAGAACTCCCCAGGGGCCCCACAGGGCCCTGTGGGGCCCCACATGGCTTTGTGGGGCCCCGGGGGGCCTGCGGGGCCCCACATGGCCTTGTGGGGCCCTGGGGGCCCCGTGGGGCCCTGAGGGGCCCCCGCCGTGCGTCATTTGACGCCCCTTGCTGCAGCTTTCATAGGTTAGAGTGGAGACCCCTGGCTTAGCAGCACTATGCAGAAGGGCCTGAGGAGTGGCCCCCAAAAAGCCCCTTCTTCTGAAAAATCAAAAGTTAAAATCAAACCCGACAGTAGCAAACAGCCAACTCGGCTCGCTGCAAAGACAGAGAGGGACCGAAAACCCTCCACGAGGGCTCCGCGGAACTCCAGGGGACCCCAGACACCCCCGGGGGCCCCTGGGGCCGCCAGGGGCCCCTGGAGGCCCCCAGGGGCCCCCACAGGCTCCTAGAGCCTAAAGTAGGGGCTAGTGTGGGGCCTCCCTTTGTAGGGTTCCGGGCAGGGAGGGCTCCAGAGGCCCAGCTAAGAACTTGGGAACCCGTGGGAGGCCCTAATGCCCCCAAATGGAGCCCCAGGGGCCCCCAACGGGGCTTTCAGGAGCCCCCAAGGGGGGCCTCCAGGGGCCCCCAAGGCGGGCCTTCAGGGACCCCGGTTTGCAACCTGCGCCGTGGGGGCCCCCCTGTCCTGTGGGGCCTCCGACGCTGCTGCAGCAGGAGGCACTTGCAGCGAGTGTGGGGCGCGTCAAGTGTCTGTACAGCTGGCTGCCCCGCCTGAGGTGTCTAGGCAGCACTGAGGGGCTCAGGTGTCTGTACAGCTCTGGCTTGCGAAAGGAAAGTCAGCGCCGAGTGCAGCGCAGTTAAATAAAAAGCTTCCTTGTCCATCCGGGCCTCTCTCGACTGCAGCCAAGCCAGCAGCAGCAGCAGCAGAAGCAGCAGAAGCAGCAGAAGCAGCAGCAGCAGCAAGGGCGTGTTTGTGCTCGCGTCTGTATCTCTTTCTAGCAGACATGAATGAGACAGGCTGCTGCTGCTGTAGGCAGAGCAGCGGCAGCCAAAGTGCTGCTGCTGCTCTTCACAGCCCCCGCATGCATGCAGCTCGGCCCAACGCACTCAGCAAAGAAACGCATGCAGCCAAAAATGAAAGCACGCCCTTGTTGCTGCTGCTGCTGATACTGCCACTGCTGCTGCTGCTGCTGCTGCTGCTAGGGAGGAGAACAAGGGACGCAGGCCCTGGGAGAGACACAAAAGCACGCACCTGCTGCAGCAGCAGTACCAACATGTGCAAATAGCTGGCCACAAATGCTGCTGCTCCCCCCTCTGCAAGGGCCAAGACCAGCAGCGCCACGAGGTCTTCGCAGCAAACCTGAGCGCAGCAGCCCCGCGGCAGCAGCAGCAAGCACACTCTGCTGCTGCTGCTGCTGCTGCTTCAGCAGCCGGAGGCAGAGACAGCGAGCGGGCGTCTCCCGCTGGGGCAACAGCAGCAGCAGCAGCAACTCGGCCCCAGGCTGTGTGCATGCCCCCGTAAGCCCACCGCGCTCACCTCCACAGCATCTTCTCGAGCAAGCCCCAAAGGGCCTTTAGAAGCAGCAGCAGCAGCAACAGCAGAATTGCATGCGCGGTGAATTGCGTCCACAGCGCGGCAGAGCTGCTGCAGCTTCTCGTGGGGCAGCAGCATAGAGGGCACCTGCGAAGACGCCGCATGCGTTCAGGTGTACAGACACCTCGCGGCCCGCAAACTGCTGCCAACTGGGACCCTACAAGGCCCCAAATAAGAAGCTAGCTGGCGCACACCAGCAGCAGCAGCAGCAGCTGCTGCTGCTGCTGCTGGTGTATGTACACCGCAGTGCAGATACACCCCACACCCCACAGACCTTGCCCAGCTCCTTGCCCGCCTCCCGGGTGTCTGTACCCCGCAGCTCCCGACGAAGACCCAAAGCTTCTAGAGAAGAAGCCACGGAAGTTCTGAAGATTAAAAGGCCCCGCTGCATGCACAGGGCGCAGGGTTGGGGTGTACGTACACCTGCAGGTGTACGTACACCTGAAGCGCCGCGCAGCTCGCGCCCCCAGCTGTATGTACACCCCAAACGCCCACGCAGTCCCTGCCAATTTGCTTCTTCTCCTCACTTCAATTTCTTTTTGCTTCGACTCGCCAGCCTCGAGAAAGAAAGGCCACAGCCGGTCGTGCGCCTCCAACCACACAAACCTGCAGCAGCAGCAGCAGCAGCAGCAGCAGGGGACTAGGGGATAGGCGTAAACTTTAAGCTAAACTAGCCGGCGCTGCTCTAGCTCTGCCTGGATTTCTTCTAAAAGCCTTGCGGCTCACGCGACGATTTGCTGCTGCTGCTGCCAGGGTTAGGCGTTGTTGCTACTGCTGCTGCTGCTGCTGCGGCGCTATTGCTTCTGCTGCTAATGCTGCAGCTGCTACTGCTACCGCTACTGCTGCTGCTACTACTGCTGCTACTGCTGCTGTTGCTCCTAGTGTTGCTGCTGCTGCTGCTGCTGCTGCTAGGGACTCACCGCTCCATGACTCTCGCTGCTTCCTTCGACTCCGCGAGGCCCTGGGGCAGGTGGCGGCAGCAAGCAGCAGTTAGCCGCCGCAGGCGCTGCGCCAGCGCCCCGTCAAGCCCAGGCACCTGCAGGGGCCCGCGCTAAACCCTAAACCCTAGCTGCGAACCCTAAACCCTAGCTGCAAACCCTAAACCCTCTTCTCCGCCCGCAGCCCCTTGGCTGCAGCCTAGGGTTTAGCGTTTGAGCGCTTGCTGCAGCCCTTTTGGCTACAGCCCGTGCGCGCTGGCTTCGTTTTCTCCCAATCCTAAACCCAAACCCCAAACCCTAAACCCTAAACCCTAAGCGTCAAACTGTAAACCCTAAACCCTAGGCGCACCAGCACATAAGTGGCTTTGAAACGCTCAATCTCCGCATGCACGCCTCGCTCAGCAAGGGCCCCTGGGGCCCCCTGCCTCCACCAGCGCTCCACTTTCTGTTGGGTCTCAGTGGCGGAGAGAAAGGGTACTGGGCTGTCTGGCGACAGGGGGCCCCCTGGGGGCCCCTGAGGCCCCTGGGGCCCCGGGGCCCCCGGGGCCCCCTGGGGGCCCCTTTCTGCGTCCTCGGGCTTGCGCGCTGAGCTGGCGGGGGCCCCCGTAGGGGCCACCCCGTCGCTCTGTCTGCCAGCGGGCAGCGGCAGCAGCGGCGTGGAGATTAACAGGCATGTGAAGGGGCCCCCAGCAGCAAAAAGCTGCTCCTCTCGCAGTATAGAGACACAAACTGCATGCACAAAAGCCCCAACAAAAGCCAGCCCTCTGCGGCCAACGGCAAAGGAACTTCAGGGCCAAGAAGGGCCAAAATGGGCACTCTTAGCCTTTCTTGGGGCCCCTAGGGGCCCTCGGGGGCCCCCAGGGGCCCCCAGGGGCCCCCGGGGGACCCCAGGGGGCCCTGGGGGCCCCCATGGGGCCCCCTTGGTGGTCCCCCCGAATGCAAGGAGGCTAAAGACGGTGCGCAATAGTATTAGGGGTGGCGAGGAAGGTTAAGACAGCTTGTGCGGCTTTTAGGCTGAAGTTCCTAGGGTTTAGGGTTTAGGGTTTAGGGTTTGGAGAGTTGCCTTTGGCTCTGAATCCAAGAGAGGCGGTGAGCTCCTGGCCAACCCTGTCGACTTCTTGGCCCCTCAAGTTGACATAAGTGTCTTTGTAAGGAGTGCCTTGTAGAATATGAGTTTCTAGAAAAGCCTTTAAAATGAAAAATAAAGATAAAACAAAAAGCAAAAAGAGACAAAAGGGAATTAAAATAAGACAAATGTTCTAATATTACGAGGGGCCCTCGAGGCACCTTCTGCTGCGCACTGAGACATGCTTTCAGCGACGCTCAAGCATTCAGGAAACCCCTGTGAGCTAGGGTTTAGGGTTTAGGGTTTAGGGTTTGAGCTCAGGGCAAAGCGCTCGAGCTTCTTTCGCGGCAGTTAGTCCCTAGGGTTTGCAGCTTAGGGTTCTTAGGGTTTACGCCTCTCGGGAAAAAGCCCAAATATGAAGCTCTAGGGTTTAGGGTTTAGGGTTTAAGGTTTAGGGTTTAGGGAGCGCTGGGTGGCCAGCCTGCTGCACCTGGTCTATGTGGAAACCCTTGAGTTGGCTCTCCTGCGGCAGCAGCAGCAAACAGGGGCTGGAGTTGTTAGAGAGAGCAGCAGCAAGAAGCTCTTCGTGGCTGCGCTGCAGCAGCTGCAGTATCAGGTGTTCTCCGAGGCTGCGGGGGCGGCCCCCGCCCTTTGAGCCTTCCATCTGCTGCTGCTGCTGCTGCTGCTGAGTGTGATGCTGCTGTTGACCGTTCTGCGGGCGGCGGTGAGGCTGCTGCAGCTGCAGCCGCAGCTTCTCAGGCTCTGGGCGGGCGCCTGAAGCGGCGAGCTGGAGCGGCAGCAGGAGATTCTGCTGCTACTGCTGCTGCTGCTGCTGTCGCAGCCGGCCCTTGCTGCTGCTGCTGCTGCCGCTGCTGCCTCTGGTGCTGCTGCTGCTGCGGCTGCAGCAGGCGGCTGCAGCAGAGCCGCCAGTGAGCGCAGCCGACACAGTGTCTGCGTGTGGCTGCTTTTCCTTGCGGAACAGCGTCTTAAATGCATTTAATTCTTTCAATCTAAAAAGTAATGAGCAAAAACAAAGAGAGAAGTCGAAGGCTGCAGTCCTTTAACCCCAAGTCCGCCGCTGCAGGAACCCGAGTACGGGGGCCCCGGGGGCCCCCAGCAGCTAGACAGCGTTAAGCAGTCAATGCTAAAGACTAAACCCTAAACCCTAAACCCTACTTCCTTGCATAAAGTGGCTGCTGAAGCGGCTTGTGTCCCCTTTTCCGCCAAAAACTCGTTGCAGGCCCGCTCTGCTGCTGCTGCTGCTTTAAGCTTCGGGTGTGCACACAGCTCGCCGCCGCCTCCCAAGTGTACACATACACTCGAAGAGTTTAGGCCGCCATCTACTGCGCATTTGGGAAATTGGCAAAAAAGAATAGGTGGGAGTCTAACAAACACTTTATTAATGCCTAATTTGCATATTTTATCATTTTAGATTCAATATTGTGCATTGTTTATGCTGCGCATGCTGCGTTTTGTGTAAGAGTGGTGAAAGTGTCGTTTTGAAGACTTTTTGGTGCCTCTACAATTGGGCATATTCCCTCCCAGGTTCGCAGCCACCTGCATGTATGTGTATATATATTTATTTATATACAATATATATGTATTTGTATCTATATTTTTGTGTATATTAGTGTGTATTTATGCATATATAAGCATATCTAGATGTATAACGCACATATATATCTGTATGAACATATGCAAGAAAGCACATGTGGTTGTGGGCATATGACACAAGCGCAAAGTACAAAGATAACAACACTCAGATGCTTATATGTATTTGTTTGCATGCGTCCTGCCCTGTCTTTTAAAACAAACACAAAACCCTTTTCCCAACAGACTGCTATAGCGCAGGAAAGTGGCCCAGGAGCCTCTATGCTGCGTGGCACCGGCGAAGCAGCCAGGCTGCAGGGCCTCCCACGGGCTGCAGCCACAGGGGCCGCAAAAGGGGGCCCTCCGCTAAAATACTCCAGAGGCCACCCCAAGCCTTGGGGCTCCACAGGCAGCCAGTATAGGGGGCAGCGCCTCGCTGGGGCCCCCTAAAGAGGGCCCTCAGGGGGCCCCTGAAGAGGGCCTTAGGGGTGCCCTAATGGGACCCCTGAAGAGGCCCTTAAAGGTACCTTTTAGGCGGACCCTAAAGACCCAAAGGGAGCCCGAAGAGGGCCTTCTGAGGGTCACCTAAACAGCTGAAGGAACTCCTGAAGGAGACTCTTAAGGGGCCCCTAAATACCTAAGGGGGCTCTTACGGAGGCCTCTAAAGGCGCTCCGGAAAGCCCATAAAGAGGTGTGTAAACCCCTCAAGGGGCCCCTAAAAGGGTCCCCCCGCTAGCCTATGTGCAGGGGCCCCACTGAGCTGAAAAGGGCCCCACAGGGACTCGCAAGAAGAGCCAGTCTGCTGTGCTTTGTGGGGCCAAAACGCATGCAGTGGGGGCTGGGGCCCTACATGCATGCACACGGGTAACTCCAAGCATTGTTACCTCAAAAATATATTTTAAATTTATTTCCAAGTTAATATTGCATGCATACGTCCACATGCACTTTTGCTACGAAATGCGTCTCTTGCGAATGCATGAGAACAGGTACTTCTCAAGCACAAATCACAAATGTATACGCACATGTATATAAGCATACAAATGCATACACAAAAATATATTAGTGGATATGTTTATATATATTATATTTACATACGTTTAGCCCTTTAACGCATATCGTATACTGTGCACGCGCATTTATACATATCCATCAACAATTACAAGGCATATATATAAAGTATATATATATACATAAGTATATATATTTATGTATGCATTTATATGTATATATAATAGGTAATATATATTTCTATTTATGCATATGCATACATATATATATGCATGCATATATGTGCACCAGTAAGTACGCCCTACACCCGATGTAGTGCACAGGCACTACAATAGGGCTTGCTGGTGACCTATAGAAGATAGCTAGCTAGCGACCTACAAGGGGTCGCAACACTGGAGGAGGACAGGACCCTCTTACTAGGATCAAAGCAAGGCAATTTGTCTGCGAATTAACATGCATACACTAGAGGTGCCTGAAAATGCGTGGAGACTGGGGCTGGCGATAGCGCCAGCACCAGTGCAGGCCTCCTCCCCACAGGGCCTAGGAGGCGAGCAAGTAGTGCACAGCGCCTACCGCTGCAACTACGCTGCTACCTGCCCACTCGAGCACGGGCCTATGATCGGCACCTAACCGTGGCCCATTTCCTTGAGACAGTAGCCTATATATCGAAGTACAGTTATACTTAGTTTTCCAAATTCTGTGGTCTTCAAATCCGCGCCACTCGGGGTGCTCGCTTCCTAGGCCCCGTCGGGAGGAGGCCTGCACTGGTGCCGGCGCTATCGCCAGCCCCAGTCTCCACGCATTTTCAGGCACCTCTAGTGTATGCATGTTAATTAGCAGACAAATTGCCTTACTTTGATCCTAGTAAGAGGGTCCTGCCCTCCTCCAGTGTTGCGACCTCTTGTAGGTCGCTAGCTAGTTATCTTCTATAGGTCACCAGCAAGCCCTATTGTAGTGCCTGTGCACCTACAGGGGAACTAGCTGCGAAACGTGGAAAACGTTATGGGATTCGTAAGTGGGAGGCAGAGCGAGACGGTAAGCGACGGTTCCTATGCGTTCGATGACTTCAAAGGGTCCGCGGCAACTTGGCTCGAATTTAGGGCAGCTGTTGAAAGGCGGTAGGTGCTTGCTGCTGAGCCAGACCTTGTCTCCCACTGCATACTCCACTGCTCGGCGCTTTGTGTCTGCGTAGTACTTCTGCTGCCATTTTGCCTTCAGGATGTGACTCTGTCGCAGAGCTGCCGGAAAAGCTTAGTCATTGGAAGAGTGAGCGTAGGAGCTAATGCGCCTACGATATAAAGGTTCGCAGCAGTCAACGGGTTCTCGCCAATCATGACCTCGAAGGGAGAGAGCTCAGTGGATGGATGACTGGTTGTGTTGTAAGCAATTCCAAGGCCGGAAGCAAACATTCCCACTCGCGTTCGTCAGATTTGATATAGGTACGAAGCATCTGCTCCAGTGTGCGGTTAGCCCGTTCAGTTTGGCCGTCGCTTTGGGGATGGTAGAACGAGGACATGCACCGTTTGATGTTAAAGCGGCGACAGAGTTAGTTCCAGAGATCCGACTGGAAACAGGGGTCGCGGTCCGATATGAGCACCTCTGGAAAACCGTGATAGCGGAAAAGACGGTCTGCGAGAAGCTCCACGGTGTCTGCTGCTGTGAATGACTTCTTTGCAGGGACGAAATGAGCCATCTTGCTGAGGGAGTCGACCATGACAAGAATCGAGTCGTGCCCTGTCGTTGTAAGGGGAAAATCTGTGATAAAGTCAAGACTCACGTGCGCCCACCGACGAGAAGGGATGAGCAACTGTTGAAGAAGGCCTGCAGGCTTCTGGTTGAGGGACTTTGACGCTCGACAGTGAGGGGATGACTGAACATAAGCAGTAGTGTAGGCGCGCATTCCTGGCCAGTAGTAGTGCTTGCTGAGAGCCGCAAAGGTCTTTTTCTGGCCTTGATGGCCGGCCGTGACATGGTCGTGATGTGAATGCAGAACTTGAGTAAGAAACTCAGGGAATTGTGGGGAACAGATGCGCCACAGTCCATGAACGCGGATGTGCAGGTAAGGCTGCACGTAGCGAAAGGTGAATTGGCGATTACGAAACTCGATTTGCAGAGCTTCTCCTAGTTGGTTTGCTGCGGCTTTGTAGGGAACGCGAAAAACGGGACACTTCGAGTACGCCTGCGGCCATTGGCGGACTTCAGGAGGGTCAGCTGGTGCCTTCGTTGTGAGTGTGGGATGTTCAGCCTCTGGGTTGGGTTCCAGCGGCGCAGGTGAAGGTTCGGACGGCAGGCTGCGTCGTCTAGGTCGTCGCGAACAAATTCCGGCGAGCTCCCTGTAGTTGGCCGACCACGAGAGCGGGGAGCCGCGCCCGTTGGTCCTACTGCGAGCATCAATGGTGTCGATGGTGTGTCGTGCGAGCAGGTGTTAGACTGGGAGGCCGAGACAAGGCCTCAGCAACTTGATTGCGCGCTCCTTGAACATAAGTGATGTGCACATCCGGGAACTCCACAAGAAAGTCTAGCCACCGGGCGGTGCGTCCACGCAGAGGCTTCGATGCTTGAACTCGTTGGAGATGGGTGAGCTTGATGACCAGTGTAAGCCGTTACCTTGGAAACACGGAGCAAGTGCGACCACTTGTCCAGTGCCGTGACCAACGCCAAGAGTTCCTGATCGTAGATCGAGTATCTCTGTTGCGTGGGGTTTATGACTTGGCTGGGCCGGCCGATGGGCTTGCCGTCTTGTTCCAGAACTGCTCCGATCGCATAACCAGAGGCATCCGTGTATAACTCGAAGGGTTTCTTGGTGTCAGGGCCTTGTAATGTAGTGAAGTCGATTAAGCGCTGTTTGAGCTGCCACACCGCTTGCGCGTGAAGCTCTGTCCATTCGAAACTAACGTCTTTACGCGTAAGATCAACCAGCGGCGGGGCAACGTCTGCACAGTCCGGTCCCATGAACATGCGACAGTAATTTATGGTACCGAGGAAATGGAGCACTTGCGTTTCGTTCTACAGCACCTCTGACCAATGCCGGATGGCTTCGATTCTATCTTCTGCAGGTTTGATCCC